TGAATCAATCTCATGCCTCCCAGACGGCTGCAGATCTAAACATCTAAAGTAAATGAAAACTTTTACTTGTGGTTTAATCGTGAAAGAGGAATGTTTCTGTCGTCATTGTAAGTGACGTTAAAGTTTCCTTCCCCATCAATAGAAATATTTTTTTAAAAACCCCTCTTGGCTCATGATTGAGGTCATCGACAGCTACACTCTTACTTCTACACCAACCATGCCGAACCTTATAGGCACTTTAACCAACTCCAACCCCAAACCATTAATCTGTAAAACAACGGGAGCCCGTTGCCGCCTGCCCTCCTGGACAGCTTTGCTTTGGGGCTGATTTTACACCATAGGACGCCTCCTGTGTGTTTGCGGTGCTGCTGTGGATGCGTTGTGTCCTCTTTGACCCTTGTTCTGTCGCTTCTTCCAGCACCAAGATAGAGAAGGAGAAGAAGGAGCACGCCAGGCAGCACGGGATGATTCGGACGGAAATCAGCGGCGCCGAGATCGCCGAGGAGATGGAGAAGGAGAGGAGGTTCTTCCAGCTGCAGATGTGTGAGGTGGGCAAGACTAGCATGCTCTGAACTCATTGTTTTGTTAGTTGGTAATGGAAAGAAATGTTTGCCCCATGAAACATTAAAATCCTGCTCCAGAAATGATCGTTCAAATAACAGCTGGGGGGAAATTACATAAAAGATTGTGCGAGCATCCGTCTATGTCAGACTAAGGTACAGACTGAATATTTTAAAATGACAGCACAGCCTGCTGGAGTGCAGATATCACATTACAGTCTGGTGTATTTGCATCGTCAGAGCCTTTTTTGATGTTTTGCTTTAATGACGCTTTACTTGAAACATGAACATTTTTACTTTGAAGCGTGTAGATGTGAGATGAAAGGCGATGTGTATGTTTGAGACGGAGCATGACTGAAGTTCACAGGCCTGTGAGTTGCCTTTCCCTCCGACTGAACCCGCTCTGACCCCTCGGCCCGGATCTGCATTCGATCTGTTTACAGTATCTCCTCAAAGTCAACGAGATCAAGATCAAGAAGGGGGTGGATCTGCTGCAGAACCTCATCAAGTACTTCCACGCACAGTGCAAGTAAGACATCGTATATCTCTATCAAAGTCGTGTCGATAGCTGTGGACATCCAGTGGCCTTATCCTGTGCTGGTTTGTAATGTTTATGCTACGCTGGGTGGTAAATCCGTGTGTTTTCTGTCCAGTTTCTTTCAGGATGGTCTAAAAGCTGTGGACAACCTGAAACCCTCCATAGAGAAACTGGCCACAGATCTGCACACGGTGGGAGCTCCAGCAGCGATCTGATTTGTTGGTTTAACTCCTAAACATTTCCTCTCTTATTCGTCTCCTGTTTCTTTCCTTCACGACAGATAAAGCAGGTGCAGGACGAGGAGAGGAAGCAGCTGACTCAGCTACGAGACGTCCTGAAGTCGGCGCTACAGGTGGAGCAGAAGGAGGTAACATAGACCTACAAGTCCTCTGTGACCTCTCCGTGTCTTAACAACGTGTCGGTCAAATATCAGATGTTAATCTTCTTACTTTCTGTAAATCAGATTATATACGATATACTGGACACGATCCCAAACCTCAGTAATAACCTTCAGCATCTCTCAGCGATGCCACTGACTGGAAGGACATAAATATAGAGCCTGTAAAAAGTCAACACGTGCTTGGAAGTTTCCCCTTTCATGGTCGATTTAATTAGGCTTTTTTGACAAGAAGTGAAATTAACTGAGTGCAGTGAAGTGATTGTAGTATAAAGATGCCTGAAACTGGTGGGTCAGTACTCCTGGATAGAACTACACCATGAAGACGAAAGAACACCTTAAGCAACTCCAGCACAAGTCAGGGGATGGATACAAGAAAATGTCCAAGTCACTAAATATCCTTTGGAGTACAGCTAAATCCATTATTAAGAGAAAGAAGGAATATGGCACATGTGCAGCAGTGACTGTGAAGAAAGACAGGATTGAGGGAGAGCTTTCTGGCCATCAGACTAGACACCAAACACTTGATTACGAACACGCCACTATGAAGCACGGTGGCGGCAGCATCATGATGTTGGGATGCTTCCAGCAGCAGGTCCTAGAAGGCTTGTAAAGGCAGACGGTCTGCAAGAGGTCTGCAACTTGGGAGAAGGTTTGTTTTCCAGCAAGACGGCGACAGAAAGCGTTGAGCCGAAGCTACACAGAAATGGTTTAAAGTGGCCGAGTCAGAGTCCAGAGTTTGTAGCTGGATGGACTTGACTGGTCCCCATGAAACCTGACAGAGTTGGAGGAGTTTTCCAAAAAATGAAACTGGGTAAAATGACAGTGTCCAGATGTGCTGGTGATGGAGACCTGTTCACTAAGGCTCAATGCTGGAGTTGTGGCCAAAGGTGATTCTACCAACACTTTTGCACTCAATTATTTTGTTTCGTATCATCTTTTTATATTATTTCATAGAAGTCAAGTTTCGCTTTGATTTAAAAAGAATCTTTTAAAATTCTTGTCAAAAAAGCCAAATTATATCGATTCAACGTTGAAAAGCAGTGAAACAGGAAAACTTCCAGCCGTTACCAACACATGACTACCACATAGTACATAACTGGCTTCTACACCATATTTCACCAAATTAGAGGAACAAACTATTTTATGCAAGAACATCCTAAGCCTGTCCTGGTTCATGCCTGCGTTGCGGTTTCTCTGTTTACTCCACCGCCTCCTGTAATAAACGGAGGTGATTTTTGGCTGACCGCTCGGCAGCCCTGTGCTCAGCCAACTGTTAAATATGCTGCAAACATCAGCAGCTTCTGGTCTCACCTTAAGATTGTTTTCTTCTCTCCTCCGCTGCCTCCGTCTTTTGTGAAACAAGTCTAGGAGAGTAAGTGGATATTTTTTGAAACACGTTTTCTGTGTCCTGTCTTCACTGTCGTGGTGTCCAGTGCTGGTTTTGTTTTTTTTGTTCTTTCACAGCAGCAGCACAATCATCTGTGTGGTTTTTTAAATATGCAACTGTCACGTCTTAGTGCTTTGGTGGAAAGTTTGGAGCTGCTGTTCTTCCTGCACACATAAAGCCCTGCAGCCGTCAGAAGTCACTCTTTCTGTTTCCTGAAGCGTTTCCAGAAAGGAAATGACATAATTCGCACAAAAATCTGACTTTTGTTTGGTGCTTTTTTGACGTAAAACTGTTAAAACTTAGAGATAAAATTCCAAAAGACAAAAAAAAGATCAAAATAGAATTACTTGAGACTAAAATGCTAATAACAAAATCTGGCCAGCTGCTGTTGAAGACTTCAGAGGTGTAAAAGCGCCTCTTATTTCATCCCCTCATTCATCTGATCCTTCAGGCTACCAGCAGCACTCTTGATATTATTTTTATTTCCCTTAAAGTTCTTAGAGGAGCAGGAGACCTAGAAACACACCAGAGCAATTTAGCGTCTCTGTAGCTCCCTGTTGACTTCATAGTGTATCTGATGTGCAGCTCTTCTTGTCCTCTTTATCGCCTCTGATTTGCCGTCTCTCTCTCTCTCTCTGTTTTTTTTCCCAGGATTCCCAGGTGCGGCAGAGCACCACCTACAGCCTGCACCAGCCGCAGGGCAACAAGGAGCACGGCACCGAGCGCAGCGGCTACCTGTACAAGAAAAGCGATGGGTGAGTTTTATTAAAGAAAAAATGGTGCTGCGGCCGTGCATGACGTGTGTAATTAAATTCATTAAATTAGGATTTTTAATTCGGGAGAACAAAGAAGGCTGCAGCATATTCTAAAATAATCTGCAGATTTTGTTCTTAATTAATAGTTGAAGTAAGGGCTGCATGTGTCTCGGTGGTTAGCACCATTGCCTCGCAGCCAGAAGGTCGCTGGTTCTTGTCCCGGTGAGGACACCCGGGATCTTCCTGCGTGGAGTCTCCATGTTCTCCCCGTGCAGCGTGGGTTCTCTCCGGGTTCTCCGGCTTCCTCCCACAGTCCAGAAACATGCTGAGGTTAATTGGTGATTGTAAATTGTCCGTAGGTGTGAATGTGAGTGTGCTTGGTTGTCTGTCTCTAAGTGTAGCCCTGTGATAGACTGGTTACCTGTCCAGGTGAACCTGCCTTCACCCTGAGTCAGCTGGGATAGACTCCAGCCCCCCATAGTGAGGATTAAGGTGTAGAGATGATGGATGGATGGTTAAAGTAAAAACCACAGTTTCACAGTACTACAGAGAAAACCAGTTCATTTTACTTGTTTGTTTTTCTATTATATGAAAAATTCTGACTTGATTTTTAGACCTGCTGCAGATGACTTGTCCGCTGTTTGACTTATCGGTTACTTGACTAATCGTTTCAGCTTTTAAAGACAATGTTGTTTTGTTATCTGGCTTCACTGCTCAGCCTGAGGATCATAACTAATGCATGTGACTCCTGCTCCTAACATGTGATCGTAGTAAATATTTTATCGAACGTGTCTGCTCCACGAATCCACAATTCACCGCATACATACGTGACGTGCTCATCCTCTTCCTCCGTGTGCCGCAGGTTGAGGAAAGTGTGGCAGAAGAGGAAGTGCACAGCGAAGAACGGATACCTGACCATCTCACACGGCACAGTAAGCAGACGCTGCGCTCTGTTAGTTAAACAACATGAACATTTGGATGCACACATGTGACCGCTCTGCACACATTGCTTGGCTGCAGGCCTTCTCCCTCGCCGGTCGTTATCGTCACCCATTAACCACGAATACATTAACAGCAATCTACAGAGATCACAGGCCAAGTTAGCATTCCTCTCACATCGCCTAACTCTGCTCGCTCCCATATAAAGATTTAACTCCCCCTCGCTAACGCAGGTCATCTCACACGGAGCGGCTTATCAGATGTTTCGTTTGGCTCCAGCAGCGCTCAGATAAACACGACCGTCTCGCTCACTTTCATTGTTGTTTCTAACGTGCGTCTCTCTGGCAGGCGAACCGACCGCCGGCTAAACTCAACCTGCTCACCTGTCAGGTGAAACACAATCCTGAGGAGAAGCGGAGCTTTGACCTCATATCACGTAAGCTCACCGTCTGCTCCCTTCATCTGATTCTTATCTTTTTTTGCCTGTGCCCACCTCTTTCTCTTTTCCCTCCTCCTCTCCCCAGTCTGTGGTCATTACAGTCAAATGCCTGGTTTTAATTAGCTCCAGGCAGCAGCAGCAGCAGTGTGGCTTTCAATTGTTTCACCGTTTCCCAAGCAGCAGCAGCAAAGCAGAGATGAGCTGATTTAAACAGAGAAGATAATGCCATGTGTTCAGCACACATGAATCTAGAGTTTAGTTGTAACGCTGGAGTCAATTAGCTGTAACCTGAAAGGACAGATTGAACAATAGCATCCAATAGTGACAAAACAACTTCAGTCTTTGTGAAATTGCATCAGAGATTTTTCACGACTGACATTTTATATTATGAATAGTTAATATAAAGTACTCAAGCCCCCTCGGTTTCACTTTTTATTGTGTTTTAACATTGAATTACGATCAATCTGATTTAGGCTGAAATTAAACTTTTTGGCCATCAGACACTAAACACTGCACATCGTCAGGAGCACACCAGCAGCACACTGAAGCACGGTGGTGGCAGCATCATGAGCTCAGCAGTAGGCCTGGAAGGGATATAAATAAGGATGTCCGATATTTTTGCTAATATCCGATATGCCGATATCGTCCAACTCTCAATTTCTGATTCTGATATCTACCGATACACGTTTGTTACTGCAGCTTGTTTACACGCTTCACTACGCAGCTGGAGGTCGTCATCATTTGCATGTCGGTGAAATCCAGACATTATATTAACGGTTTTCATTACAGGCAAGAAAAACAAGAACGATATTGACAGATATTATATTTTTATGCCAATATCGAGTCGATGACATCAGAGGGCCGATATTACCGGACATATATACTTGTAGAGGTAGAAGGTAGCATCTGTTCTGGAGCAGCCACACCTCTATCTAAGAGAGTTTGAGGCTGGAATTGAAATACGCATCCACACCGCCTTCAAGTCAAGTTTTGATTCTACTAAAAACTGACTTGAAGGGGATGAATACTTGAAATCACTAATTTTACATTTTATATTTCCAACTGATGGACATTATTTTATATAAATGTGATTTCACTTTGACTTGAAAGAATCTTTTTTGTGTAAATTCTCGTCTAAAAAGCCGATTTTTTCAATTATTGACCATGACTTGATGTTTAAAAGCAATAAAACAGAAAAACTTAAAGTTAATTGCTTGCTGTAACCTAAAGTGTTCTTTGTTTGTCCTTCCCCCTGATTAGACCGTTTCTGTCAAAGAAATCAATCGAATATCATTTTTGAAGCACTGACTCAGACTTTTCCACAACAAACACTTTGGTTTATTTAGAATCGATAACCTGTTTCAGACTTTCTCCTCTCTGGCTAGACTGTGGAGCTGATAATGCATCCTCTGGGTGTTTTTATTAGCTGACAGTGCACGGATGATGGGAAATGACATGCAGGAGACGTTTCAAGTCACGATTATGTCAGATTTAGGCCCACCACTTACTCAGCAGAGTCGCTTTAGGATGGTGACTGGAGACACAGCATATTTTAAGCATCTTTAGTTGAACAGAAATAGATCTCTGTGGTTCTGAGGCTGATTCCTATCTGATGGCAGGAACAGGTTTGTTGTTGTGCTGCAGCGCCCTCAGTCTGACCTTCCAGTCGAACACTTTCATGCCCTCACAGAGCTTTTACTGTGTGTCTTCAGCTCCTTGACTGATGCTGTTTTCTCTCCTCTTCTGTTGTAGACGACAGAACGTATCACTTCCAGGCCGAGGACGACCAGGACTGCCAGATGTAAGTACCTGTTCCTTCCTCTCACTCGTTCGTGTCCGTCCAGACTTAAGTGCGTCCTGTTTACCACCTCGACTCCTTTCCACACACTTCCTACCTCGTCTTTACCTTCCTCCCCATTAACTCGCCTTTTACTCCTGTCTCGCTCCTCGCCCTCCGTTTTTCTCCTCGTTCCCGTCCATCTCGGCTGCTCCCATTCTTACAGCAACCTACTTTCTCCTCCCGTCATCCGCCTAACTCTCCTGTACACTTTCTTTTCCTCCAGCTGGATCTCGGTGCTGCAGAACAGTAAGGAGGAGGCGCTGAATCAGGCTTTCAAGGGGGACCATCATGTCGGCGAGAACAACATCGTGCAGGAGCTGACCAAGGCGATCCTGGGAGAAGTCAAGAGGATGACGGGAAATGACGTGTGCTGTGACTGCGGAGCTCCCAGTGAGTTGATAGAAGGGGAAACCCTCGCTGCAGGAAAGCTTTACGGCACTGGGTTAAAGTGAATAACCACGAATGTTGCTGATGTTCTGTACCAACGTCTTCTTACCTGGAAGGTTGTTGGCTTTTTATGTCCCTTTGGTTTTGAAAAAAAAAAAGTCATGATGCTTATTGGGGACAAGTTATCTGCCATAATCTTTTATTATCCCAGATACATGATTATTATTTGATGATGCATTTACAAGCAGAGCTGCTGACACGTGCGAGCAAACCACTAAATGCACTTTGTTTTCTAATGACCACCATATTTACTCCTCGTTCATGTTTTCATCTCGATAACTGACGACATATTCATGTGTTTTAAAGCCAACTCGTACGTTTAACGCTCCAGATTCATTCATACGCCACAAAGTACACGCTGATAAATGGTCCAAGCTTGGATTCAATGTCAGGATTTCCTGAGATTTTTCTCCCAATATCTGCTTCCATTTCCCCGAAGAAACACTCGCCAGAGCCTCGAATCATTAGCATTTGTGTGCGTACAAATACCTGCAGTGTAGTAAAGACAAGACCATTCTATAACATTTACTATATAGACCTTAAAATGTAATAATCCCAAAAAATATAAGCACAGTTTTTAAAATCCAGTTCTCCTCAAAGTTGGATGCACTTCTTCCAGTTTTTTTTAACTATTACAGATACAAATCTCAATTAAAATACTGTCTTTTAATTGTTTTTAACAGGCAGAATAACTAAATTTTAACACTATTGTTCACGTATTGTTCAGTGTGTTCTGAGGTTTTGCAGAAACCCATCGTCGCTCTCTTCATGAAACACCTTCACAAAGGCGCATAAACCTGCATTTCCAAATTAAAAAGAGGTGCCGTGCACATTTTCCACATGGTAGCGCAGCAGCAGATAAGTTCATCAATTATTTAAATCTCCTGACGCGGGGACAGGATCAGTCAGGATCAGCCCCCGATTATCCACGGCTCGGTGGTCACAATAAAATGTCAAGAACGGTGAGAAATCCCACGAATCCTGGAGCTGCGATGACTTTAAAATCGCAGGAGATCCTTTGTTCATTCCAGACTGTGTCACAAAAAAATAAATAAAATGAAGGCGATGATATGTTGGCTGGCTGATTTGGAGCCAAATCAGAAATGCTCGCTGTGTTTGGAGTGTGTAGACCTCTGGTACAGTCTCTGGAAAAGCTGAAACGCTCTCTAAATTTTAAATCCTCCAAGTATTTCCTCAAGTCCCGTGAAATGTCCTCCTGCCTACATGTATACTCAAACATACATGTAGAGAGTATCTAGGCCAGACTTGGTTACGGTGCAGCTCGGCCACTTTCCTCTGACATTGTGCGATAGTAAAAAAAAAAAAAAAGCCCTTCAGGCAGCTATTAAATTTCCAGAGCCCTCAGCTTTCCACAAGGACACATCAAAGTTGGCTGCAGAAATGACTTTTTTTTTTTTTTTGCTTTAGTGCTGACAGTTTATCGGCCATATTTCTCCTCTTTTTACTCCCTCTCATGTTCATTCTGTACGTTTTCTTGACAGCAGTCGTCTCCTTTTCCCTCAGATCCGACGTGGCTGTCCACCAACCTGGGCATCCTCACCTGCATCGAATGTTCGGGGATCCACAGGGAGCTGGGAGTCCACTACTCCCGCATCCAGTCCCTCACTTTGGACGTCCTCAGCACCTCCGAGCTCTTGGTAAAAAAAAAAATCTTTCTCGCCTGAATCACCACCACACATCCCCAGTTATCGTCAAAGAGTTCAGCTGTATTGATTCTCCATCAGGGTCTCTGTGGAGATTTTTAGGCTAAATTGGGAAAGAAAAGGGGGGTTAGGAATGATGAGGAGGGCAGTAAATCAAGACAGGAGGTAAACACGAGGAGGAGGAGGACGGAGAGTACCCTTGGACTCGTTCTTCTTCTCCTCTGGAAGACCTCCGGAAGCCTCAGAATAGCTGAGATTTTGTTTGGCTTTTCTAATCACCGTCGGTGTAGAGATTTACCGCCTGCGGGACGGTCGGGATTAAATGCTTCCAGCCGTGATTGCTTTCCTCGGTGTTAAGACGCCAGGCGCGTTGGCCACAGCCAGGCGGGCGCTGTGCAGGCGAGGGAGGCTGCTGCTTCCCGGTGGGCGTGTGCGCTGAACTGATGACTTGTGAATTAATCAATGTGGCACAGAAAATGACACATAACTAGTTTTAATTTGTGTGTCTGTCCATGTGTGTGTGTGTGTGTGTGTGTGTGTGCTCCACAGCTGGCCAAGAATGTGGGGAATGCAGGCTTTAATGAAATCATGGAGGCTTGTTTAAGTGCTGAAAATGTGGTGAAACCCAACCCGACCAGTGACATGTAAGTCACCCCTCTGGCTTCATTCCTCCACTCTCTCTCTGTCTCTGCATCCCCTCCTGTCACCTCCATTCCCCTTCTCCTCGCTCTTTTCCAGCCTTCTTGCTTGCCTTACGTTACACTCAACCTGCTGTGACGACAATGTGCCAATCATGTTTTCTAAATCGTATTGATTGCTTATTTCTATTTACATAACTGTGTGATTGGAAAATCAACAATCAGCTCCTAAAGTTACACCTTTCACCCAACTTTTCTACTCATACTGACATGCCTGATCAGGACTTTATTGGATTTCCATGTGGGGAGATTGCTTTGTTGCAACTGCTCAACACAAAAGAGGAAATACTAATTAAAAATAGAGTCTTAAATGTATTAATAATTATGTGCAAATGCTCTTCAATAATTTCCAGATGCATCATGTGGTTTCTGTGCACAGCTGTTCACGTCACACTCACGCTCTCTAACAAAATGCTGAAAGTTGTACGAGTTGTAGATGAAGCATTTTGCACTTGGTGGTTGATGCATGTTCCTGTCATGTGCAGCGCTTAATGAATTTATCAGACCACCACCCGATGTGAGATTTATGCCACAGCTGCCCTAAATTAACAGCATTAGTGATTACCAAAATCATCTCTTATGTTTCTGTAATGATTAATCACCAGTATGGAGACCCTGTTTAACCAAGACGATGTGTTTAATGCTAAAATATAATTATTATTATTGATATCAAGGAATATTCCAATTTACTGTTTCACAAAAAAAAAAAAAAAAACGGAAAACAACGTAATAAGTCCTGAAAAAGAAGGTGAAATGCGACCAATTAACTGCAATCCCGAAAAAAAAAAATAAGTTTAAGTGGTGAAAGGTGGGCCTGAATTAACTCCGAAACCCAACGGCCCAAAATTGGGCAAAAAAAAGGGAAATCAAGGAAATCAAAAACGGGAAAACACCAACACCCAACGAAAAACAAAAAAGCCCGAACCCCAAGTTGAAAAACAACGCCCTAAAAAAAACGAAAAAAAACTAAAAAAGGGGCCCAAAAGCGATTAACAACAAAACCGGCCAATTAATCCAAAACGGGAATTTAAAAAACCCCCAAAACCAAAGTTAAAAAAAAACAAACCAAACCTTTAATCAATTCATTCAAAGAAGTTATAAATTGCACATGTATCATAAAGAAGCACATTTTTAATACCAAACACTGTATCAGGCTTTTTATGTCCGATGTGTTCCTGCTCTTCCTTCCAAATTATTATGAAACTAAATCATGCATCCAGACGGCCGATCACACAAATCTAATAGAGTTTAAGTTTACTGGAATTGTCTTCTGCTGCTGATCGGTGCACAGTCACACACGAGCTTTCCTGTAAAGCAGGGATGCATTCTGGATTGGATTTGTGCTGATATCTGATATCTGACTACTGATGCTGATGTACGTTTTTTTCCACCTGACTGAAGAGAACATTAACTCTTCAAATGTTGATTCCACTGCAGGAGGGACTCTGTGGTGGAATCAACATCTGAAGAGTTTATTTGCAAAAACAGATAACTCCATTTTTGTAGATTTTCAGGAAACTTGTTTTTGTTGTTGTTGTTTGAGATAATGTTAGACTGAAGTTGACAAAAATAGAAACAACTTAAGTTTGATTGATATTGTCTCAGGTAGATGATGGAAAAGGGGGTTTCCTGAAGGTTTGTGAAGGTGGAGTTATCTGTTTTTGCAAATGAACTCTTCATATTATGCCGAGTGTTCCAGGTTTGGACATTCGCTGGACAAAATAAAAAAATAATGGCTTAAACTTTTGTGTAGAACATTTTTATTGTTATATAGAAAATTCAAACCAAACAGTTTGGCTGAATCATCTGCCTGCCAGTTTAAATTTTGGCTCGATTGGGTCGAAGCTTTCACCAGCCAGTATTAATAATACCAATATCATTATGGTTCTCTACTTTAAAAGGCATGAATCGTACAAAAGATCTCACAGCTCTAACACAACGTCTGTGTGTGTGTTCTCCACCAGGCAGGCGAGGAAAGACTTCATCACAGCCAAGTACACGGAGAAGCGCTTCGCCAGGAAGAAGTGTCCCGACCCGACGTCGCGGCTCCACACGCTGTGCGACGCCGTGAAGGCTCGAGACATCTTCTCCCTCATCCAGGTCTACGCCGAGGGAGTGGACCTCATGGAGCCCATACCTCTGGCCAACGGGCATGTCAGTGCGCACAATGTTTCGCCGTCCCGTGTAGGCTTGTCTGTTGCATCCCTGAAAAACGCCTCGTGTTCACGATGTTTTTGATCTTCAGGAACAAGGAGAGACGGCCCTTCATCTGGCGGTCAGGCTGGTGGACAGAACGTCTCTGCACATCGTCGACTTCCTCACCCAGAACAGGTGAGCACGGCGGGAAGGAAACCAGTCGTCAATAAGTTGGAATGGGTTCACAGCCAACGTGATGATGCAGCAAACATTAAATAAGCCATAAAAAGACAAATAAGGCCTCTTAGTGGATTTATGGGCTTATTGATGAGGGTTATTGACATCCGCTTATTTCTCCCGTCTCTCTTCAGGTCGAAGCTATTTGCATAATTGCGTTTTCATTTGACTTCCTGTCAGTATTCGCTCCTTTGTTGTTCTCATTAAAACCAGAATGAAACCAGAGGCGGAGATAACCCGACTTTAGATGTTTAATGGAGGAAGCAAGGTTTCATTTTATTTATCCTCTGGATTTAATAGTTCTCTCTCTCTCCGTCTGTGCCCTCTTGAAGTTTAAATCTGGACAAGCAGACGGCCAAAGGCAGCACGGCGCTGCACTACTGCTGCCTGACCGACAACAGCGAATGTCTGAAGCTGCTGCTGAGGGGGAAGGCCTCCATAGAGATCGGTGAGGAAACACACCAATGCAGCTACTATCTATCTTTGCCCTTTACAGTTCTGAGATAATCACTTCATCAGTTTTTCCACATTCTGCTCCTTCTTTCTTCCACTCTCCTTCATTTGAGAGGAAAATATTCTACCTTTTACTCCCCTGACAGCTCCAGGTGCTGGTTACTGTGCACACTTTGCAGATCATTTTCATACAAATCATATGCAAACTCTGATGGTTCCACCTCTTATCTAAGCTTTATCTTCTTGCAGAAAGCTTTTTATAACCCTGGTGTCTTGTTTCATGATATAGTCGGTCATGTCTAGAACAGGCTGGAACATCTAGACTGCAGTGGAAGTAAAGTTTTAAGATTGTAGACTTATTTTAATTCATAAATTTGGAGATTTTGCAGATTAAACTCGCACTATGACGCCTGCTAAAGTATTGCTCATGTGTTCATGCATCAGTATTATAAAATACAAAACATTCTATATAATAAGTTCTTGTGTTTAATATTTTTGGTGCATTCAGTTTATAAGTACTTGCTGCATGTACTTTTTCCACAGTAGAGCTCTAACATAATATTGCTGTGAACATGCACGCTGTCTTTCACACACTTTTTCTTTTCCCTCTCATCGTCTCGCCCTCTCACACACAAACAGCTCTTGTTCCCACTCGTTCAGGTTTAGTTCCCAGAATTGTGGCCCTTGAAAACAGACCGTGGCGACTTTTTCTCACAACGCTAATCTGTCTGCTCCTCTCCGAAACCAACAACACAACCCAGATAACAGGAAAAAAAAGGACAGAGGGGAGAAACCAGAGAGTCGCTCAGTGTGGGAAACGCTTTAATTACACATTTCTCATGTCACGGCGAAAGAGAAAGCAAAGAGAACGGGCTGCGTGTTTGTCCTCGTGCGGAGCCAGCAGTGATTACATGTTTCTGTTGTGTTTGCCTTGCAGCTAATGAGGCCGGGGAGACGCCGCTGGATATCGCTCGGAGGCTCAAACACCTACAGTGCGAGGAGCTGGTGAGCTGTGCTATGTTTAGACCGGGCTCACGCCTGCAAGCAAGCGCTGTGATTTCTGAAACCGTCCGAGAGTTATTTGCATGTGTGCGTGCGTTTGTTTGCAGTTGAATCAGGCGCTGGCGGGAAAATTCAACGCCCACGTCCACGTCGAGTACGAGTGGTGCCTCCAGCATGAAGACCTGGACGAGAGCGACGAGGATCTGGACGAGAAGGTGAGCGATGGTTCTGAGATTAGAAAATGTTAAAAGAAGGCTTTTGTTGAGGCTGATGAGACCTTAAACTTTCTGCAAAAGATTGTTTTATTTTATTTTATTACCAATTAGTAAAACCACTTGTCCTCTAAAAGTTAAAATTGTTCCTTTTGTACTTGAGTGTGATGCTGTTTCACTGCTCTCACGCTGCTTTTGTTATTATTCCTCGACGTGAAGTGCAGTTGACGACCATTAAAGCAAGACTATTGTAAAAGAAAATGGTGTAATTGTCAAAGGGCATAATTATATAAGATCTCTGTTTGACAGTAAGCATCGTGTGAACGGCTCAGTTTGGTGCAAGAAGAGTGTCCTGGGTGTTGTTTATACACTAGTTTCAAGGCAGTGGGTGGTTGGAGTGCTTTTGTTTGACCTAAAAGTCTTGGTTCTGGATTGTTTGCTGCAGGAAGCTGTGATAATTGGTAGAAACGTCTCGGTATATTCACGCTGGTTTGACAGATGTGCAGCTTTGTGTCGTAATGCGCTGACTGTTTGTTTTCCCGAGTGTGTTATTGGGCGTTTTGTAGCTTGATTTTAAAGTGGGCCATAGAAAGATGACAGGAAAGGAGATGAGAGAGAGGAGAGAATGGCTGGAATCAGACCGGCGATCACAGTGATGTGAGTCTTCACCACCAGGCCTCTGGGATGCTGCAGATTGTTAGTTTTTAGATCCAGCACAGAAGGAAAAGGTGTGAAGAGTCAGCAGCTCGAAGAAGCCAGTGAAGATGTTTTCTTTTCCCTTGTTAGTAATAAAATAAAGTTGGTTTTAAATCAAAAGCGAGACCATAAATGGCAGAAGTTTAGTACGACAGGCTGTTAACCACATCTTGCCTCCCCGCTGCCCCTCCAGCCGAGCCCCCACCGGAGAGACGAGCGTCCGGTCAGCTGCTACACTCCGGGCAGCAACTCCCACCTCCCGTCCAGCTCGGCGGGCCGCGACGGCCTCGGCAAGGACAAGCAGCGGCCCTACATGCCCAACCTGGTCAACAACGAGACGTACGGCACCATCCTCAACACCAACCCCCCTCAGCCCGCCACCACCTCGGCCCCGCCGCTGCCCCCGAGGAACCTGGGTAAGCAGACACAGCAGCATCACCGAGTGGAAGTGTTTGTGGTCAAGAAAGACTGACTGTCGATTATTCTCATTAACTGATTACATTAAATGTGCTACTCTGGGTGAGATGAAAAACAGAGACGCACAGTGGATGGAACTGTAGGAGACAAACTGTTCGATCTCAAATCGATCGATCAGTAAACAGAAGAGAACGTTTAGCATCCTGTGTTGTTCCTTTTGCTAGCAGCTGCCTTAAAGTTGAAGAAGCTTAGTTATGAATGACAGCTGTTAACATTTAATGTATGTCAGTTGTAAACATCACTGTTTTGTCTTTCTTGATGACCAATACAGTGTCGCCCACCTAATGTCACACCGCTTTATAGAATATCCCGTTTATAATCACAAAATATCAAAATCATTTCCTATATAACTTATAGCAAAACAGCCTGTTTATGGTCATAGAATAATGTCATAATCCTGGTTTTTGTTATAACGAAATTCCCCGAAATTGATTCCAGGAGTAACTTTTGCCCGTTTAAAGTCACGGTCGGCCGACTGTTACGGCTCACGGGCCGAGCGTCGGTCGACTATCACACCCCAGTCAGCCGTGGAAGGCAGCATGTTTGTTTGTTTGTCGATTAGCTGCTCACCTGAGATCTGCTTCTGAGTTATTCACACTGTCTGACATTAATTAGGACACATGGAAGACAGTTGTTGCAGAGCATGTCGTCACTCGTAACTGAACTGCTCATCTAGTTAATCATGAACAGTTAAATACGTTATCTCCCAAATACATGCTAAATACACCCGACATAGGCCGTGTAGATAGTGCTGGTCCAGTTCATAGGCTAGAAACTCGGCTCTATCTTGAAGCCCGCGTATTGGAATATCCTGGATACAGTCATAATAATTCCATCCTGGACTGAGGGTGTGATAATAAACGGGCAGCACTGTGATCGGTATCGGCCCTAAAGAACCCACATCAGTCGATCACTAGTTTGAGAGCAACATGCAGCATTCCTACAGTAACTAATCTGGTAAAGTTTATGGATGCTAAACTGTCTGACTTGAATCCAGCCTCTTTGCCCTCTTTGGGGAAGTTATATTCATAAAAGATGTCCTCCAGGAACAATCTCGTTTTCACATGTTTGTGAGCAAAGTCACACTGGAGGCAGATGGATGCATTCTAGTTCTTTAAGTTCCCCGACAAGTGACAAGTTCCCCACAGTCCGTCTTTATTACTCTTAGTGGCTGTCTGGAGAGCTGCCAGTGGATCAGAGCTAGAACCAACCAGCTGCCCACCTCTCCTCCTCCCCCCCCACCGGCCTCAGCACATTCCCTCTCCCCATTAACCGTCGCTCTCAATTACACTCCAGCTGAAACGACTTGACTTTTACAGTGAACGCTGGTTCTGGCAACGTGCTCTGCATTCTCTCTGACTTTAACAATCCTTTCTCCTCTTCCACCTCCTTTAGTCCAGCTAGCCGGTCTGGGGGGGATCAGTCAGTCGTCAGCGTCCAGCAGCTGGAAGCCCGGTTCCTTAGACCTGGTGGGTCGACAGAGGTCGTCCTCGGACCCCCCCAACATGCACCCGCCCGTACCCCCGATGAGGCTCACTTCAACCGGAGGTACCATGTGCACCTGGCTCGTTTATTTTTCAGTTAAACAGCTGTGAGAGCTAAACTCTGATGAACCTTTTTGCTATTTTCAAATGTGACCACTGCCATTGTGAAGGCATGTTAGCATAGGACTATCATTATAGGATCAGTTCAGTTAAGTGTCGTTTTCTTCTTTTCTTCTTTATGAGCTTTGATGTTCAAAAATCTGTCCTAAAGTCAACCCACGCGTTTGACTAGCTCCTCTAATTTTCCACTTCGGTGTGTTGATTTAAACGTTTCCCTCTGATTCTCACAGTAAACGACTACATGAACAAAAACAGAATAGATTGTATTAATTACGGAGGACAAACAAAGTCATTACTGCGAGACGCGCAGCTTCTCGCCAAAGGCAACAAGTAGTGATTGTTTTTGAGATTAAAAGCTCATTTTTGACCTTGGAAGCGACAGTTTGCAAAACATTCTCATCACACAAGAATATTCAGATTTCACAGATATGAAACTGAGCATTTTGTGTGTTCCAGCTCTGGGTCTCGCTCCTGTGGCGAAGATGGAAGCGATGAGCATTCAGTCCAAGTCCAGTCAGGGGCCGCTGGCGTCCAGGACAGCGCCGCCCAAATCTCCTGCAGGGTAAGATGATAAAAACACATGTATGCATAAGCAAACGACACGTCACAGTGACTCTCCAGCTTCACAGGAAAACACTAGTTTCCTACACGGAGGAACATCTTGCTCTACCCCAGGGTTGTGCGTCGTGTTGTTCTTGTAATGCGCCGCCTACTTCCCGTGAGCGGCGAGAATACACGGCTGCTGTTTAGCCGCTTCATTAGCTTCCAGGCTAAGATCTGCATCGAGCCAGACGAGCAGTAGCTCTCCTCCACCGTCGTCCTTTTGTCTTTTATCTCCCACAGAGCTGCAATAAATCTGTTAGCGAGCCGACAGTGCTCTGTGTCTTTATGTGACTCTGATGATGGGAACATTTTTTTCCTCTTTGCAGCAACGATAAGAGCTTCAACAGAGGACCTCTAAACCGAACAGAATCTATTGAAAGAGCGGGTGAGTCGATGGGTGTTTAAAAGTGGCTGTGCTATCGGTCAGATCCTGTCTCTTCTTTGGAAACGTGGAGAGTTTTGTTGTCGTTGTGACGCAATTTCCTGTTTCCTGTTCCAGCTAAGGAAGTGCCAGGATGCCCCCAGAACTCCATAGGTCAGCCTCTGCCTCCAGCCCCCATGCCGAGGAAGGCCTACCCGGTGAGTCCCTCGCTCTTCCTCCCGTTATTCATTCATTCTGTTGCACACATTCGCTGGCCGCTCATTTTCCTAGTCACGGTTTTACTCCCTTATTTCGTGTCGTGTCATTCCATCCTCTATTGTTTCGGTGTTTCCAGTGTCTACTCGTGCAGTAAACGTCTTTCCTGTAGCGTGAGTCTGAGCTTTGGCCGGGACTTTCTTTTTCTCTCACTTTGAGCGGAGAAGCTGTTTCGCTGTTTTAACTCATCTTGGACCAAAGAAAGAACTTTGAAATGTGCAGTGTGACACAGTTATAGTGGCATGAATCATAAAAAATAAAATAAAAAAAGGTATAAGTAACATTTCTGATTACCGTAATGTCCGGACTATAAGCCGCTACTTTTTTCCCACACTTTGAACACTGCGGCTTAAACAATGACGTGGCTAATTTATGGATTTTTACGAATTTGCCCTGAGACCAAAGTGACGTTGAGAGCGACAGACAGACTGAAGAAGTGATGAAGTAATTCTGAGGCTGAAGAAGATGACTTTCGTGGTTTTAGTGCAGGAGGAAGATGAAGACAGCGATCAGTGACTTTTCCTGGTTGCTGCTGGAGTTTTATTTCCTTAACCGGCCGTGTTACAGGAACTGTTACGTATTTGTGTGTGTTATCGGTACGTATTTAATTAAAAGTTTAAAACATCTTTCTGTGTAAATATCTCAATGTGGACACCTGCAGCTTATAGACCAGTGCAGCCTGTATATGTACACAACTGGTTTACTTTTTAAAGTCAGTGAGTGCGGCTTATATTCAGGTGCGCTCATAGTCCAGAAATTACGGTATTTATTTTACTAAAAGAATAAAAATTAATCAACACGTACAACCTTTCTCCAAGGGCCCACAGGAGAAAACGGTGGCTCTACATGCTGTAGTTATTGAACTATTTACTTTATTGATTTCTTTATCAGCTCCGTGCAGCACAGCCTGCAGTTCATCCTGATTCAGCCGAAACCTTTCAGAATTTTTGTCAAGCTGACTCACTAATGCTTCCTTAGGGGAGTTTTATGTCTTTTACATACATTTTAGCTTCATGCTGAATCAGTAACTTCTTTTAAATCACTTCTTAAAACCCACTTTTAAAGACTCGCCTTCAAGTAAAGTTCTCTTTCATCTCTTTGCCCTTTTGTCCATTTTAAATTTTTTACTGCTTGTAGTCCTTCTTTCTAACCTCCTGACATTAATCTGTTTTTATCCTTGATTTTCCTCTTCAGCTTCTCTCTTAACCCCCTCGTGTGATGTCGTCCTTTTATTAAACTAACGATCCATTCTGTACATTTTCATTTATTATCATGTGTATTTACGTGTTTTCATGAATTTTTTTATTGTTTTATGCTGTTTGCCCTGTCCTGCCTGATATTTAACCTGTATTTTATGTTCTACCTGTCAAAGCACTTTGGGAATTCTTCTTCTTAAAGGTGCCTTACAAATAAAGTTATTATCATTAATATTATTATAGAATCTCGTTGAAACCACAAGTCACTGATCAGCTGTTCACGGAGTGTTGGAGAGTTAAAAACCAACTATATTTCTGTTCATGCAGTTTCAGAAAGTTAAACTGGAGCCTTGCACCGTGGGGTTGTAGAAGCTTTTTCTTTATTTTATTTTGTCCCTTTGTTTCGTGGATCAATTTGGTTTTAAAGGCCTGTAGTTTCATCTTTCTTTCTGTTTTATCAAGCAGTAAAATTCCAGTCAGAAAATGAATCAGCGCTACAAACCCAGTGAAAGCACAGATGTAGTCCAGGATACACAGCGGAGATGAACTGGGAAAGTTTTCACATTGCTCTGAACAATTGGCCTTCAAAGCCCAAAATGGCAAATCACACATTTGCCACTGAGGGATTTAGAGGACAAACGGTACGATACTCTCTGACCTCACAATCTTAATCTAGACTAAATCTCCTGAGAAAAATGTTCATGAGGGAAAACGGGAGCGTTACCAAAAGACAACATAGACGGCATCTCGAGGTGTTCTGTAGTTTAACTTTGCCTTAGCTCCCCCTGCACCTACTTGATATATAACCTGCTTGTCCTCTTGTCTCAGAAACAGAGGCCGAAGCGAGTGAAAGCCATCTACAACTGTGTAGCCGACAACCCCGACGAGCTGACCTTCTCCGAGGGCGAGGTGATCGTGGTGGACGGAGAGGAGGACCAGGAGTGGTGGGTCAGTATCTCCCCAGTCTGTGTGTGTTTTTTGGACGCCTGCTCATGTTTTCAGATTAAAGCACAAAGCGATCCCAGTCCAAGCAGCTCGCTCTGGCCCGACTTCTGCCATGTGGATGTCAGAGCGCTCGGTAACCATGGCGGCTAAAAGCAAAAAGCCATGACCTCATTCTGGCCGCTCTCCCCTCCTCCTCCTCCTCCTCCTCCTCCTCTTTTTCCGCCTGCTGGTGCTTCCTCTGTGGAGCTCCTTGTGTGAACGTCGACCAGCTGCAGCTTGTTTTCCTCTGAGCCACCCCTGCAGATATGACCGTATTTAGTCAGTCTTTCTGTCCCTGGCGTGGACCCGGAGTCCCCCGAGGTCCTCGCCGGGCTTCCTCTCTGCCCTGCGTCCAGCAGCGTTATCGCTCGTTTTGTGTATGAAAAATTCACATCACGGTGCAGTAATGAAGCCCCAGAAGGTCGCTCTGCTGGGAAACAGGCTCATAATATAATACCAAGCTCTCAAGTTTTTCTACTTTCTTTCCGATGAAAACTATTCAGTCGATTTTTTTTTTGTTCATTTATTGTCACGTTTCACTTTGTTTGTCCGAGCAGAAACATGTCCTAGCTTTTTATTTTCAGGTATAGACGACGATTAAAATGACTTAAATGGAGATAATAAGTTCTGTCTACTTTGTGACTCAAGGTAATATCAAAGAGGAGAATCACTTTAGATGTACGGTTGTGAATGAAAGTTTGCGTGCACTTGTAAAGACGGTGAAGATCAACGCAGCCTAGATTCCTATAAGTCTTAATTTTCTACGATGGAATGGGTGCCAGTCTAAAATCCTCATTCTAGTCTGATTTTTCCATTTCTTTGCCACTTCTGATGTGTGTTTGGGGTCATTGTCTTGTTGGAAAACCCACCAAGACCTTCTTCATTATTCCAGATGATCCAGAGCATGATGCTTCCACCTCCATGCCTGGTGTTCGGTGTCTCTCCTCCAAACATCCAAACATATTTCTGGTCTTTGTGGCCAAATAGCTCTATTTTTGCACATTATTGTAACGCAGGACTTTCCTCCAGAAGGCCTTTTCTAGGGAAATTCTGGTAAACGAGCTTCCTTCTTGCACTGCAGCCTCTCAGCCCCTGACGATAGAAACCCCCTTGACTGTGGACACCTGTGTTCCAGCAGCTCCTAATTCACTGCAGACCTGCTTTTTGGTTATTTTTGGCCACTGACAATATGCGACTCGTACTTTTTCGTTGTAGCATTTGAGTTAGATGAGGAGTCAGCAGTTAATCGCAGTCGCTCACAGGAAGTTAAGAGGCCACGTCACTAAGAA